TTAAAAGAGAAAAGAAAGGCCTATCTTCTAGGGAGGGAAGGGATCCAACCCAGTATCAGGGCTTGTCTCCTATTCCCTCCTGCCATGGTCCTCTGAGACTCCACGAGTGTTAGGTGAAACAGGTAATATCGCCAAGAGCCGCAGTCAGACTGGGGAACCAGCTGTTTCAGTGTTTGGGGCTAACAGACAACTCTGTGTGGCTATGGGGCCCCCTCGCCCTCACCCTGAGAAGAGTATTATGAACATTCAGCAGGCCCTTGTTACCTCCTTGTTTATACTGCACAGCGAACAACCACACTGCTGATTTCTGCCTGGATGGTTGCTTTAATAGAACAGCATTCCCTGCTCACAAATATAAAGATAGATTCAAAGATGAAATCCATCCTTAGCCATGATTCAGCTACAACGAGAGATATGAAAAGATCTGCGATTCTAAGTCTCTAATTAACTTAAATATAGGAATTGTAATGGCCTCTGGAGGAAAAAGAACTGAAACACTCTCCCCCGAAAAAAGAACCTCAAACAAAAATAGCAAGGCTGCTTATTCCTTCCATTAAACATTTCAACTATTTTCCAGCCAAATGGAAAAGTTTGGCACATGTCTGGTAATAGAAGGCAAACAGAGCTGCACTGTAGCACAGGAATATTTTCAGAGCTTTGGCTGGTTGTTTTTAATTGGGCTTATATAATGGTATATCAAGAAGAAATAATTTCATGGTGAGTGCTGAAGTTATACTAATTTAAAAACAGAGGAACTACAAGCCTATCAGCTCTATAATCCCCATCCTCTAGACCAAGCAGGCTAGCAGTATGAACACGAACAAAGCAGGAGTTTACATAGCCACAGCACTGGGAGAGGCAAACCTGCTAACCTGCAGGTAAGTAACGCAAACTTTGCTGCTAGCACCTGCCAATCATAGGCCTTTCTCTATGAAAAGATGCAACTGGGGTGCTGGAGAGATGGCTCAGCAGTTATGAGCACTTGCTGCTCTCACAAAGGACCCTGAGGTTGCCAGCCCCACATCAGGCAGCTCACAACTATTCGTAACCAGCTCCAGGGGATCCAGTGCTGCCTTCTGGCCTCTACAAGCAGCAAGAGTGTGATTTACATACATCACCTGGGCACACATCCACATAAAATAAATAAATGTTAAAAAAAATAATAACTATGCCGGGCGATGGTGGCGCACGCCTTTAATCCCAGCAGTTGGGAGGCAGAGGCAGGCGGATCTCTGTGAGCTTGAGACCAGCCTGGTCTACAGAGCTAGTGCCAGGAAAGGCTCCAAAGCCACAGAGAAACCCTGTCTCGAAAAACCAAAATAAATAAATAAATAAATAATAACTGAAACAGAGGGATACCCTAGAGGGTGGCAAGTTCTTTGAAGACAACCAAGGACTTTCTTGAAAGCACAATAACTTTCCGGTGCCTCAATGAAAACAAGTGATTCCTTCGTTCCAGAGTACGAAATGATTATAATGTGCTCAATGTAGCTACAGAGCCGCCACAGATCCCTAAGTGGGGGAAAGAAGCCCCTGAAGAAAGCACAGCTACGCTGTCTATTACACTTATGTGTTGTGTGTGGGTGCGCACGTTATAGTGCATGTGTCGAGGTCAGAGGACAGCTTGCAGGAGTCGGTTCTCTCCCACCACGTGAGTCCCAGGAATACACCTCAGGTGGCCATGCTCAGCAGTGAGGGCCTTTGCATCATGAGCCACCTCACCAGCGCCTACGGAGTTGTCTTCAGCAGTTCTCCACCAGGAGAAATTCTTTCCTCCACAGAACATTTAGCAATGTCTGAAGACATTTTTGGTTGTCACAATTGAGGAAGTGCTACCAGCATGCAATTGATAGAAGCCAAGGGTGCTGCCAAAACATCTTTATAGGATGGCCCCAAGTGTCAACTGTGCCAAGGCTGAAAAAAACTGTTCTAATATAAGAAGCATAAGGGGAGTACAAATGACTCACATAAAATGCTAATCTGCGTTAGAAAGTCAAGTGTGCATATTAATTTAGGTAAGTGTCTGAGTGGGGCGGCTACAGCTCAGTGGTAGACAAGCAAGCGCAAGGCCCAGACTAATACCCAGCACTTCTAAAACACAACACAAAATGGCACAGCACAAGACAACTCGTAAGAGTCTAGTGGAGACACTATAAATTGGAAAAGGAATTTAGACTTGATTCTTTGGGATGTGAAGTTTTCAATAATAACGCGAATAATGGACAGAAAAAAACCTATTCATTTTAAAGAATTTTCATTTTTTTGTTGTTGTTGGTTTTTTGTTTGTTTGTTTGTTTTCGAGACAGGGTTTCTCTGTGGCTTTGGAGCCTGTCCTGGAACTAGCTCTGTAGACCAGGCTGGTCTTGAACTCGCAGAGATCCGCCTGCCTCTGCCTCCCAAGTGCTGAGATTAAAGGCGTGCGCCACTATCGCCCGGCTAAAGAATTTTCAAAGACTCACTCTGGTGCAGAAAGTGGAATGGCAGGAACAGAAGACAGGCTAGTGGTAAATAAACTGATGGAGGTATCTAAAGGAATATCACAACCACTGGGTGAGATAAAGTATATGGCCCTCAGATTTCAAACCTCGGCATTAAATTTCAAACCAAAGGGTTTAACTTCCAGTAACACTCTATTTGCTTTTCTAAGCACAATGAATCTTGTCTCACAGAAAACTGAAATGAAGTAAAGGCTCAGTCTCTGTTTTTTGTTTGTTTGTTTGTTTTTCAAAACAGTTTCTCTGTAGCTTTGGAGCCTGCCCTGGAACTAGCTCTTGTAGACCAGCCTGGCCTCAAACTCAGAGATCCACCTGCCTCTGCCTCCCTCCTGAGTGCTGCGATTAAAGGTGTGCACAACCACCACCGCCCGGCTTTTTTGTTTTTGTTTTGTTTTTTAAATCAACTAAAAGTTGCATGCTCTACCAAGAACATGAATGAAGAGGTCCCAGTCAGGATGGAAACATTTCAAACACTGCCTCCTCAGAGCTGGATGCCCTAAGGGAGTGTACAGGGCTAGCTACCTCTTGGCCTGAAGGCTAGGCGATACTTTAAAGTATTTTATTGCTACCATTTTTATTAAACTTCTCTGAGTCATCAGTTATACTCAGGTGATCTCTGAAGTATTTCCGGAAGACTAGGAAATACTTTACTACAGAAAGCTCTTCTAGCTGACCCACCCAACCAGCAAACTGACAACCACAAACTAAAACCCAAACCCATTCGGATTGGACACCGAAAGCCCCTAACAACCTGGCAGATCCCCCCAGCCCCAGTTTCTGCCCAACTCCAGGTCTGAGTACTTCTCTAAGCAGTACAGACCAGCCCCGCTGCTGCCCCCTCACCTGTGCTCCTGCAGCGTGCTCTGCCTGGACCACCATACGAGACGTTTTTGGCCTGGCTGGCTGAACTACAAATACCTGGGAGGCTCTGGATTTTGTTCTGCTTGGCCACGCCACAACTTCAGTCCTCCTTCCATCGAGCCTTTTACATTCCTTGTCTGAATGGTACCACCCAGTTCCTTAGGCCAGAATACCAGCAATGTCTAGACTACAACTACTTCTTCACGCCTAGAAATAACAAGCCTCCAGTTCTCTGGATTCCAGCCTTGATATCTGCCCCTGACTGGCCTTCAACTTGTGATTCTCCTGCCTCAAACTGCATTACAGACACGCACACTGCTCAAACACAACCAACCCCTCCTGGCCATTTCCACTTCCCCTCTCTAGTTCAAGTCCTGACATGGCAGCCTCTTTTACATATTAGTCTAAGCAGTGTCCTTCCCATTCTGTCAAGTGAGAAAACCCTTCAAACCCCTCATAGCCTCCGGGCTAACATCCAGTTCTTTTGCATGCTTCCAAGAGCTCCAGAATGTGATCAGTACCTTTCATTCTCTCCACTTGTCTAAGTAACAAGGCTGACTGGTCACTGTCTTCCACAGGCTCAGGTCTCTATGTCCCATAGAGTACCCATAGTACTCTTTGCCTAGAGATGTGTTTTCTAGGTTCTTTATATGCCTAAGGAAATCTTGAAAGACTTAAGTCTTCCACTTCTGCCTAGAAGTGTGGCTCGGATATATCTCCTCTATGCTCTCAGCAGCTCTGTGCGCACACAGTGCACACACTCAGCCATCCTTGATTTGTTGGCCCCTTCCCATGCTGTAAACCCCACAAGTGTATTCCTAGCTACAAAGGCTAAGTGCCTCAACTAATGTGTTTCATACATAGTAAGGTCCAACAAATGCTTAGCGAATGATGAATGTGCCGTCTGGCCTCAGCATGGAACTTCGCTTCAAGGGGAACAGTACAAAGAGCTACAGCGGGCAGTTCTGATACTAACCTCTGTCTAAAATATCCTCAGCCCCATCTCATCTTCCACAGTGTTTCTGACTCTCCTGCTACGTCCTTCCACAGCACCCTCAACACATCTATAACTACTTCTTAACCGGCTTTGCCCTGCTAACTCCACAGGGGCAAGGACTAGACTTTCCAAAGCTGTATGTGACGAAACTTCCGCATTGCTGACACAGAATAAACACAATTTTGTTATCTGTTGAATTTAGTCCTGTGAGGAGATCAAACACCTCCACGTGAAAGATGAGCGAAACACGGCGTTAAAAAAAGTTAAACACGGAATCCTACGGCTACAGGCACCGGACGACTGAGCCAGACCCAATCTGAACCATCTGACTTCGGATCCAGAAGTGGACAGCACCTCCCATAAAGTTAAGCTCGGCTTCCTATTAATAGCGGCAGTCTAAGAGCAAGGGGAGCTCTCTGAAAGTAAACGCAGGGCTTACTATTTTAAACAGGCATTCCAAAAATTTATTGATTTATTTTTTTAGTTCCACAAAGCAGGTAGCCTTTAACCTGCAGCTGCCCAGTTCGAAAAACTACCCCAAGTTAGAGCGGTCCGAAAGAAACGAACGTAGGAAGGACCCGAAACTGGAAATCTCTCTCTAAAACCAGATTCTTTTCTTCTCCGAGATCAATTTACCCATCCGTGCAATGGGAATGAGACCCGATCAGAATAAAATGCTAAGGTCTCGCAGAGTCCAGCCTCAGCGGAGGCTGTAGGTAGTGCTGCGAAATCGAGAGGAAAGTGGCTTCCTCGGGATCTCCCGGCTCATTCTGATACCCCGGCCCCACCTCAAGAGACCGCACCCAGGAACCCGAGATCGCCAAAGAACCACGGTCCCCTCGACAGGGCTCCCCATACACGAGTAGGCTAACAAGGCCATTACCAACACCAGGAACGGGTGGGCCCCAAAGACCACCCCAATCCTTAACCAAACACCAACCCTCACCTTAAGAGTTCCGCCTCACCTCCGGACTGCGATCAGCCGCTCTCCACTTCCGGCAAGAACCGCCCAGCGGTCTTCGCGCGACCCACTTCCGGGCCCTCACTGGGCGTGGCACCCCCACCGGAAATGAAGCACCGGCTGAAATGCTAGCCCCGGAGAGAGGAAGAAGTTTGGCCGCCCGGCTCGTGACTCCGCCCTCATTCCCCGCCACCGGAGAGAGATTCCGGCCCAGGAGCACTTGGGGAAGGGCTCCGCCTCCAAGGCGGGGGCGACTAGGAGAAGGGGCGGGTTTGCAGATTGGGCACGCCCCGAAGCCCGGACCAATGAGAATCAGAAGTCCCTGGCCAAGCCCCGCCTCCGCAAAGGAGGACAGATGAGTGGCTGAGTCTCCTGTCAGTTTGTGCTCGGTGACTGAGGCTGGTCCTTTTTTTTTTTTTTTTTTTTTTTTGCCCTCACTCCGGAAGCGGCTCAGGGAACAACAGTAACGCTGAAGGCTCCGAGAGCCAGAGCCTCTGGTGGTGGGGATCGTAGCCGAGCTCCACCCTTCGCTGGGCGCACGAACTTTGGTTTCCTGTCTGTGGTGCGGAAAAGCACTGGACTCCCAGAGGCTGAGCGTAGCAGGCTCGGCTTTGAGCGTCTGGGCTTAGGTAGCTGAGATGGGTGTTGGCTGGCATAGGGTTTTTTGTTGTTTGTTGCTGGTCTTTTTTTTTTTTTTTTTTTTTTGCCCTCACTCCGGAAGCGGCTCAGGGAACAACAGTAACGCTGAAGGCTCCGAGAGCCAGAGCCTCTGGTGGTGGGGATCGTAGCCGAGCTCCACCCTTCGCTGGGCGCACGAACTTTGGTTTCCTGTCTGTGGTGCGGAAAAGCACTGGACTCCCAGAGGCTGAGCGTAGCAGGCTCGGCTTTGAGCGTCTGGGCGTGCCCACCCTTGCTCGGCTCTGTGGCTACGGCGGGGAAGGTGGAGAAAACCTTCCACTCGCGCCCCAACTTCCTGTTTGCTTTGTGCGCTTTGTGACCATAGATGGTCAGGTCTGTGGCCGCTTGAAAGCTTCCGCCCCGAGGCTTTGGAGTCCTTCCTCCCATCCAGCGGGGTGTGGTCCCTGAGAATGAAATGAGCAGAATTAGAGATCTGTCCCATTCCTCAAAAATCTTGCGTTTGAGGCGTCCTCGCCCCGGGCTACGTAGTCTCAGGTGCCCGCTAATGAATTCACGTGCCACTGAGAATTGTACCCTGCTGGGCAGTCCTCGCCTCCCTGCTTAGACAGGATGTCACGTCTTTGTTTTCTCCGGACTTAACACTTCCCAACCGGTCATTATCCTCCCACAAAGATTTATTTCTAGAAAAAAAAAAATTGGTGAGCGCTGTTCTAGGGTTCTTACCCCTTAGACTGAGTGACTGACAGCTCCATGTTCAAGTTGAATGCAGGTGTTATATGCCAGAGTCAATCACTCAATAAACCCAGTTCTTGTAATAATAGCTACCATTTACTGCGTGCTGACTACACGCCAGGCTTGTGCTGAGTGCTCAAACCATTTTCATTTAATCCTAATAGCAATTCTCTGTGGTAGGTACCATTGCATCCTCGGAATTTCAAAGGAGGAAGCTGAATAATTTGCCAAGGTCACAAAGTACATGTTGGAACTTCGAATGGAAGACAGAACTGATTCTTAAAACCAATTAGTTTAATTAACCCCAGTGATAGATCGATCTGGAATCATTTGAGGCATTAGATGCCTCTGGCTCTAGATACACATGGGTTCCATTCCTGATTTGAGCCTGTTACTAGGGGTCTGAATTCGGACACCTTACTGGCCTCTCCCAATTCTATGATCCTAGTACATTTGAAAGAAAAATGACAACATGGCAAACTGACAAAGTGTATATTTAAAATATGTACATTTTGGAGGCAGGGGTAGTGACTCTCACCTTTAGTTCTAGCACTCAGAAAGGAGAAGCAGATAGACCTTTGTGAGTTCAAGGCCAGCCTGATATACATAGTGAGTTCCAAACCAGTGAGACCCTATCTCAAACAAATATATTTGGACTGGAAAAATTATTCAGTGGGATGAAGACACCTGCTACAAAGTCTGATGACTTAAATCAAATCATGTGCCCTCAGTTCCCACACACAAATAAAATTTTAAAGTTTGAGACAACTTCTCATACCCTTGGCTGGCCTGGAGCGTACCATGTAAACCAGACTGGCCTCAAACTCACAAAAATATGCCTGCTTCTGCCTCCTGAGTACTAAAATTAAAGGTGTAATGGTCAATAAATATTTTTAATTTAAAAGTGTATATGTATATTTAACCAAAAATACTTTTTTTTTCGAGGCAGAGTTTTCAGGCTGCCCTTGAACTCTCAGAGATCCACCTGCTTTTGCCTTCCAGGTGCTGGGATTAAAAGCGTACACCGCCTAAGCAGTCACCCTCAGGTCAAGGGACCAGGAATTGGCCTGCTGGGGATTTCCAAAGGGGCTGACCTCTGCCTCTCCAAGGCCTCTTTCCTGAAAGGCATTACAGCAGCTGTCGTAATCAATGGCTCCATGGCCAACGTTACTGGAACATTGCACTATAAGGATAAGACCCTGCCCCCTTTGAGCATTAACATGAATCAGAGTGACCAAAGATGGCCTTAGAGATATTTTGGAAGCCCTGAATTGCCCTTTAGAAGGCCCTGACCAGAAGAGCATCATCCCTGTGGAAAGGTCTGACTCCACCTTCCTGTTCCTTGTGGGTCAGGATGACTGCAACTGGAAGAGTGAATTCTTTGCCAGTGAGATCTCCAAATGCTTACAGGCCCATGGGAAGGAGAAGCCTGATGTGGGAGTGTCATATCAATCTGTTGATTTCATTGGTTAAGTAATACAGAAACTGCTTGGCCCTGATTGGTTAAAACATAGGTGGGAGGAGTAAACAGAACAGAATGCTGGGAGGAAGAGGAAGTGAGCTCAGACTCGACAGCTCTGCTCTCTGGAGGCGTCATGCTCCGCTCTCCCGGATACACGCCATAGCTCTGCTCTCTGAGGCACACGCGATGAAGCTCCAACCCAGGATGGACCTAGGCTAGAATCTTCCCGGTAAGCGTACCTTGGGGTGCTTACACACATTAATAGAAATGGGCTAGTCCAGGTGCGAGAGTTAGCTGAGAAGAGGCTAGATATAATGGACAAGCAGTGTTTAAATGAATACAGTTTGTGTGTTGTTATTTCGGGGCATAAGCTATCCAGGCGGCAGGGGTGCTGGGGACGCAGCCCTATTGCAACAGAAGCCCCAGATCATCTGCTACCCAGAAGCAGGGCACTATATTGAGCCTCCTTACTTCCCTTGGTGCAAGGCTTCCTTACATGCCAATTTTAACATGCCTGTCCTCTTTGGGGGAGAGCCCAGGGCTCATGCTATGGCCCAAGTGGATGCATGGCAGAATCTCCAGACTTTCTTCCACAAACATTTGGGTGCTGAAGTGAGAACAATCCCAGCAAAACTGTGATTTTCTGTGAGCAGTGACACTTGTGATGTTGATCCCTCCTGAGAATGGCTGCCCCTGTTAGGATGTGCATGTATTTTTGTCTCCTTTAATAAAGTCTTGAGTTTCCCCACCCCACACCCAAAAAAAGCATGCACCGCCACCACCTGATCAGAAATACTGTCTTGGCATCAGAAGATTAGGCAGGTGTGGTGCACACCTGTGATCTTAGCTCTTGGGAGGCTGAGGTAGGATGATTCTGAGTTTGAGGCCAGCTTGGGCTACATAGCAACAACCTATCTGAAAACAAAACAAAAATTCAAAAGGTTAAACTTAAGTGTGTATGAAGCTCAGACCCAACCCCCCCCAATCTATCTCACCCTCCTAAATCCCTTTCTTGAATAGGGGCAGGAAATGTGCAGATCGCACATACATCTAAGAGCAATAGGAGAAAGAGGAAGAAAAGGGATGAACAGAGCCAGTGAGACGGCTCATGGGCTAAAAGTGCTTATGCACGCCTGAAGATGCCTGTAACCCACATAAAGGTGGAAGGAGAGGCGGCTGGAGAGATGGCTCAGTGGTTAAGAGCACTGCCTGCTCTTCCAAAGGTTCTGAGTTCAATTCCCAGCAATCACGTGGTGGCTCACAACCATCTGCAATGAGGTCTGGTGCCCTCTTCGGGCCTGCAGACATACACACAGAGAGAATATTGTATACATAATAAATAAATAAATAAACAAACATTTAAAAAAAAAAAAGGTGGAAGGAGAAAAACCACCTCCCAAAGTTGTTCCCCGACCTCCACACACTTGAAATGGCATGTCTGCCCACATACATGCATGCATAACACATACATAAGTGAAAGACTGTTTTCTTACCTAAGCTGGCAGCTAATGGTAATTCACCAGGTTGCAATGAGAAATAAAAACAAGGACCTTTTTGAAGTCATTTTCTAACATTATTATAGAAAATGAACACACGACTTACAGCCCATACCTAAGAAACTGCTTGTTTGGAATGCATACATAGACGCATGCACTTGTAAGTCCAGTCACAGAATAAAAACATTACCCATCGCATGTTTGTCTAGATATTGAAGGAAACGTATTCAGCTCTTCCTATGTACCAAGAGCTACGGTTTTTCTTCAAGTTCCACAACTGTGATAGAACAGTAGCTTCCAGGGTTCTTTTTCCTCACGGATGCTGTTCTGTGCCCAGGCCACCATGTCTTGTCCACAGCCTGCTCACGTCTAGCACGTGTTTAGTAAGTGCCTTGGATGATGCAGAAGTGTCATTTCCTGAGCTAAGGCGGAGAGGTAAAACAGTGGAGACAGGAATTCGGCCAAGATGAGGTGAGTAGTTCCTGAAGAAGACGACTTCAACACACGGCTGGGCGAAGAGGCTAAACCAGAGTCGAACGTGCAGACCTTGCTGTGGTCCAGTGCAGTCCTGGGCTGTGCCCCCACTGGCAAGATGGACTTTAATGGGAGAGCTATTCAGTTACATTTTAGCACTGTGCTGTAGAGCATGGACTTGAGTAAGCAAGACAGAGAGACAGGGGCAGAAAGAGGGCCAGCACAGTGACTCAGTGAGTAAGAGTACTTGCTGCAGAGACCTGGTAACCTGAGTCCTATCCCTGGAACCTCCAGAAGGATGGGAGGAGAGAAACGCCACAAAACTGTTCTCCGACCTCTGCATGGCTCTGTGGCGTGCATACACATATACATATACATCACATGCACATAACACGATAATAACCTGTTAATTTCTATCCTTTTAAAGAGGACAGGCACTGGAGAGATGGTTCAGCAGTTAAAAGTGTGTATTGCGCTTGTGGATCTAAATTTGGTTCCTAGCACCCATATCTGGTGATTCACCACTGCCTGTAACTCCAGCTCCAGGAGGATCTGACATCCCTGGCCCCCATGAACACATGCATTCATATGCACACACCCACACAGAGATATACATAATGCACATAATTCTTAAAATATATAAATAAAATTTATTTTGGTTTTTCAAGACAGGGTTTCCCTGTAGCTTTAGGGCCTGCCCCAGAACTAGCTCTTGTAGACCAGCCTGGCCTCAAACTCTCAGTGATCCACCTGCCTCTGCCTCCCGAGTGCTGGGATTAAAGGCGTGCACCGTCACCACCCGGCCTGATATACCATTCTTATGAAAGGAATATTGATCATGAGGATAGAAAGAGGACAGATGAATATGATCCTTTAGAGGACACTTGGTCCCCCAGGACTACCACTGGAAGGCCTGTATTCCTCTAACGCACATAGAAACAATCCTCATCAATAGCAAGTGATGGACCTCTTAGGATATGATTAGGCTCTGAGAACTGTGCCCTTATGGATGGCACTGATGCCTTTGAAAAGCTTGAAACCTTTGCATACTTGCCTTCCTACCTTCTACCCTTTAAAGACTTGGCAACAAGAAACCATCTCAGAAGCCCAGAGTAGGACCTTATCAGACAGCTTGAGGACTTCCAACCTCCAAAACTATTAGAAAATAATTTCTTAGTCGCAGGCATTTTTCTATACTAGCTGGAAGGACTGACATCGGGTGTATATTTTTACTTAATATTGCATTTCCTCCTCAGTGAGCACTAAAATCCTAATTGGTGGTGGTGGGGGGGGGTGTTGCTTGCTTGCTTGTTTGTTTTGAGACGGAGTCTCACTATGTAGCACAGCCTAGCCTGAAAATCACTATATAAACCAGGCTGGCCTCAAACTCACAGAGATCCACCTGCTGCTGCTTCCCAAATGCTGGGCGCAAGCAATTCTCTTTGAATGTCTTTCTCCCCCTGTTGGTTTCTTTCTCCTTGCAATTCTTTGTGTGATTGGCACAGAACTGATAATAAATATTTATGGGAAAAAATTTGACTAAATGAAAAGGGTAGGAAGGTGGCCCTGAGACTTGGGGTGCTGGTAATGGCAAGCGAGCAGAACAGGATTTGGGGGTTTGGAGGCTTTGAGTTAGAGAACTTAAACTCTGGTCTGGGGTGGGAGAAGGGAAGAAAGACTTGTGGTGGATCAGTTTACAAAGAGGAATTGCCCTCACTCTTTGCATACATTATCCTTTCTTTCTCTCTCTCTCTCTCTTTCTTTCTTTCTTTCTTTTTTGCTGGGGTGGGGGCTGGGTATCAGCACATTCTAGATCTGCAGAATCGCTTTGTCTGGGGAGGGCTGGGTACCCAAGTCCCCTCCTTATCTCTCAGGGTTTCAGACCCAGAATTCTGACAGTTCATCTGGAGCACTTCCCAGCCTGGCTCACGGACAGTGTGGATCCCTGCAGCCTGGCTCAGAGGACTGGGTGCATCTGTGATCTGTGTAGCCTGGCACAGTGCCTGCAGCATCCGGGCAGATCCTGTATCCTCTGCTAGGAGGGGCAGACAACAGTCTTCCAGAGACTGCCGTCCTTCTCCCCTTCCTAAGGCGGGGGCCCCAGGCTGCAGTGTGAGAAAGGGTACTCTTGGGCCACACTTAGGAGTTGCCAACAGAAAGAGCCAGGATGAAATGTGATGGTTAAAATCTGACTTCGGGGTCACCGGACCTGGAAATGAATCCTGAATCTGCTACTTACTGTGTGATCTTGGAATTATCCTCACTTAACCTCCACGAAGGAAATTCATACCCAGCTGAAATGGCTGATAAAAATTAAGAAAGCAAATTTATACCGTTTATAAAAACAGTTGGGTCTTAGGAAACAATGAATGTTAACAGCTAGTACTCAGAACAAAGAACCCATTGTCTGTGCCCCTGGTGAAGGCCACCAGAGAGCAAAATAGGATCTGAAGTGTCAACACACGGGCTGGTGCCTCCAGAACTGCCACTGCTGTCTCACCAGAAAGATTTCCACCATCCCTGTTTGCTTTCATGGCTATCTGATGGTCAGGGTCAGGGACTGTGCTCTTGGCTGCAAGTGAGACCAAAGCAAATCAGCTAGGAGTCTGAAATGCTTTGCCCACAAATAACAGAAAACCTGGCTGCAATGGCATTTAAAAAATGTTTTAGTGGCTCAGTTTCAAAGCCAGTATCTTTTTTTTTTTTTTTTTTTTTTTTTAGTTTTTTGAGACAGGGTTTCTCTGTGGTTTTGGAGCCTGTCCTGGCACTAACTCTTGTAGACCAGGCTGGCCTCAAACTCACAGAGATCCGCCTGCTTCTGCCTCCCGAGTGCTGGGATTAAAGGCGTGCTGCCCAGGCAAAGCCAGTATCTTCTGACCCTCCCCTTGCCACTTTTTTTTTTTTTTTTTAAGACAGGGTCTCGTGCTTCAGCCTCAGCTGACCTGGGATTAATTCATCCACCTGCCTCTGCTTCCTGAGTCCTGGAATTAAAGGCATGTGCGTCCCCACCCCCACTGACTCCCATCTTTACCCTTTCCGCTGCAAGTGAGCTGCAGCAGCCGAAGCTGTCTTATCATATTTAAGGAAAGAGGAAAGGGAAGAAGAGGCAGTGTCTGAAATTGGAAAGCTGAAGTTTTCTCAAGAACCCACAACGCAGACCCTGTTTCCGGTCCCATAGCCAGATATCTCGGTGAGCTGAGTTCAGCTTCCCTGTCTCTCAGAGGGACCCTTCTGAGTTGTTTCAGTGTTTCCTCCCCTAAAGGCCCTGAGCCCACTTGCCGGTAGCTATAACCTCTCATTCGCTGTCTTAGGGTTTCTATGGTTGCAATGAAACACCATGACCAAAAAAACAAGGTGAAGAGGAAAGGGTCTATTTTCCTTACATTGCCACATTGCAGTTCATCATCGAAGGAAGTCAGAACAGGAGCTCGAACAGGGCAGAAACCTGGAGGCAGGAGCTGCTGCAGGGGCCATAAAGGAGTGCTAATAACTGCCTTGCTTTCCATGGCTTACTCCCTCCGCTTTCTTATAGAACCCAGGCCCACCAGCCCAGGGAAGGCACCACCTCCCATGGACTGGCCCTCCCCCATCAATCACTGATTCAGAAGATGCCCTACAGCTGGGTCTTATGGCATCCCTTTCTCCGTTAAGTTTCGCTCCTTTCCGATACCTCTGGTTTGTGTGTCAAGTTGACCAGCCAGGACACTCACAAATTCTGTGTTGTCTTTTCTCCCGTCGT